AATTTGCCAAAACAACCATTGCCCAGTTTGTACCTTTTTAATATCACAATTGCCTGTTACAGTGATTCCTGAAGAAATATTGAAATCAAGCTTCCACACGTAATTGACTCTAACACCCTAAACTCTCTCTCTCCTTCCAAAATAATGCGAATTGCCCTTTTGATGTTGTGAAATGTTAGCAGGAGAGATGAACAACAGTCAATCCCCAAAACTCAGTTGTGGGATCTACTTTTGGGATGACTGCAGGGACAAAGGAATTGTCACTCTGCTCGCTGCTGAAAAGATCAGGAATTGTAAAGGATAGCAGAAGGGCCACCTTACTGAGAAGTCTTCCTGAATAATCGGATACGGATGTACACTTACATTTGGAAATTGAAGCTGCTTGCTCCAATCAATCTCTTCAAACCAATAACTGGAATCCAGTCCACATTTACATTAACCCCGCCTCGGCTCTGATTGTAAACTGTCCTCTTTATACTTTTATGGGATGTCACCCTCACAGGCAAGGCCAGAATAGGTTGCCCGTCCTTAGATCTTGAACAGATTGGCTTGAGAGAGGGAGCCAATTCAGAACATGGCCAATATAGGGTTACATTGTAGTGAGTCTGGAGTCACCTGTAGGCCAGACCATGTAAGGACTGTAGGTTTTCTCCCCTGAAGGACACTAGTGATCCAGAGGGAGTTGATAATTGGTCACCACCATGGGGATTAGATTTTACTTCCAGATTTACAAACTGAATTCAGATGTAACCAGATGTCATCATGGGCTTTGAACCCATGTCCCCTCGACAGAAAGGGCAGAGAGAAGAATTTGGTGGGACTGAGGGTCTACAGTGCTCGAAGACCACATCTTACTAGGCTGCTTGAGAGATTTTTCGTAAGATGTACCATCCAAAGCACCTTCCAAACACTGCAGCCTCTACCATCTAGAAGAGCAAGAGAAACAAATACAGAGGAGCACCACCCTCTGCAAGATTCCCCTCCAAGACACTCACCATCCTGCCTTGAAAAAATATTGCCCTTCCTTCTGTGTCGCAGGGTCAAAATGCGGGAACTTCCTTCATAAGGAGACCATGAGGTGTTGCTACGTGAGATGCCCTGCCACAGTTCAAGGAAGCAGCTCACCATCATCTTCTCCAGGAGAAATTAGAATGACAGAATCCCTACAGTGCAGAACGAGGCCATTCAGCCCATCGAGTCCTCCCCGACCCTCCCCGAAGGGCAATCACCCAGACCCACTCCTCAACTCCCATCCTTGTGACCCCACGTTTTCCCGTGGCTAACCCACCTCGCCTGCACATCTCCGGGCACTATGGGACAATTTAGCATGGCCAATCCACCCTAACCCGCACATCCCTGGACTGTGGGAGGAAACCGGAGCACCCGGAGGAATCCCACGCAGACACGAGGAGAATGTGCAAACTTGACAGTCATCCGGGGCTGGAATTGAGCCTGGATTCTAGGTGCTGTGACACAGCAGTGCTAACCACTGGGTTAGGGATGAGCAATATATGTTGGACTTGCCAATGGTGCCCACATCCCATGAAATAAAAAAATTGAGTCTAAATATCTTTCAACTGAGAGTGCGATCCTCTGCACAATTAGGATGAAAACTAGAATGTCATTTTAGATAAAAGGAATAAAGTAAATAATTCAATTCTCTAATGTTTTGGAAAAATCAGGATTGTTTGCTCAGTCAATTTTTTGAGCAGATGTAAAGGAAGAGTTTGAAGAGGCAGTATGGGAACTGGAGGATTGGAAGAGATTGAAAAGCAATCAGCTCATTCTCCTAATTCCACTTTGTTTTTCTGTATGTATCAGCGATGTTCTGTGATTTATTCGTCCTATGTATGGAATGTAAACAAAGGGAGAATTAATACATAAACTGAGAGAGAGAGAGACTGTTTATTGTTTCATTTCATGTACTTCATCTAAAAAGGTGAATAATTACTTACTTCAAAACAAACTAGAAATATCTTGGAGTATATTTCAAGAAGACGTGACCATGTACTGTTCTAATTGCAAATATGTGCACTGCACAGTAGCAATGAACATAGTTATTAGACCACAGACCCTGGAATATTGGATCAGTAACAGACCCTGCACTGCTCTATCCTGAATTATTAATCCAGTAACACAACCCCAAACTACTGTATCCTGGGTTATTAATCTAGTAACACAACCCTACACTACTGTACAAAACAAAAACAGAAGTTGCTGGAAAAGCTCAGCAGCTTTGGCAGCATCTGTGAAGAAAAAGTAGGGTTAACCCTACCTCTAATCCTAACACTAATCCTACACTTCTGTACCCTGGGCTATTAATCCAGTATCACACCCTGATGCTACTATACCCTTGTACGTTCAGCTAAAGGTACCTAATGTGTTCTTTAGGTTTGATCAAAATGATTACAAGATGGCACATGCGCTTTGATTAAAAAGGTAAATTTATTATCTTAAGCTAATTAATAGATGCATAAACACACTAATAATTGAATCTATTAACTCAGACTACATGATTTAATTTCTTAGAAATATATGTAAACTAATCATGAATCAATTAATTTAAACTATATTAGACACGGTTACCAATAAAGTCTCCCTGCCCTCTGCCTGTCGGTGACCCCGCTTTACCGTGGCAGGTTTGGCGAATGTGAGAGTCCTGGCACAGTTTGCAATTTCCTGACTATGAGAAGAGGTTGGTCATCTTGTACCTGCACTCAGAGTTTAGGACATACACCCACACACACACCCACTCACACACGCACACCCACACACATACGCACACCCCCATACACACACACATCCACACACACACACACATACACCCACACAGACAACCTCACACACACAGACACCCACACTCACACACACGCCCACACTCACACATTCACACACACAAATACACATGCACACATACACAAATACACACACCCCACACTCACACACACACACTCACACACACAAATACACACACACACAAACACCCACACATACATCCCTAGAAGCCTCTTAGTAACTCCTTTTCATTGAATCAAATGCCCAAATAGTTCAGTATTAGTTTTTCCAATTAGACCATGATTATGTATATTCAATAGCAATCGTTTTTATAGGGGCGAAGGAAGGGAGCAAGATGGGACTCTGGAAGGATGAGGCCTGCACTACAAGCTCCAAAAGGGGCCAGGGGTTTCACACAGGTTTGAGCCCTACATGGGCGGTGCATGGAGTTAACAAAGGCCATGGGAATTTCAAGGTCATGTGCTGCAGGGTTAAACTGGGGGCATAAAAGGTAAATTACAGGGGACTGAATGGAAACAGGGGGAGACTGAAAGATCATTAGGACCATGACAGAAAAGGGAACATGAAGGTTGGGATGTGGTGGGGGAGGAGAACTTGTGCGTTCCAAGCTGAACTGACAAATCACACATCGAAATAATGTTGGAACCTCTCCGCATTGGATGGAGAGTAAACTACACATTAATGGCACAAAAGGCTTGACACTCTAGGAATAATGGGTGCAACATGTTGCTGTTTTACTGTTCGAGAGGGTGGAATAAAACTTTTGGAATTTGGAGGGTCAGTGGCAGTAAGCCTGTCTCCATGAACACTATGCATTTGGAATCAAGGTGCACTGTGAAAGGATGTAATATGTAACACCTTTGTTGTGAATACGAGGACACTGGGGTTCCTTCAGAATAACATTGCGCCGTCGTTCTGTCATCTCCCACAGATTATCTGTGCTTGCAGCTCACATGTAGAGCATTGCAGCTGGAGTCCTTGTCTTTAAGTATTATTTTCTTACTGACCAAGAAAGAAATAGCACTGTTTGCCTTGGCAGCCTCTCCACAAACAAAATTTGCCACAACTGGGTTTATAGCACTTTTGTTCACAGGCTGCAGCTGGGAAATAATCTGCAGGGAGGCTGTTTGCTGAGTAATGAAGTCATAAACCTGTTTAATCTTGAATGTTTGGATTCTTTGCAAAAACAGTCATTGGATTGTTTAAGAGATAGTAGGAACTGCAGATGCTGGAGAATCTGAGATAACAAGGTGTAGAGCTGGATGAACACAGCAGGCCAAGCAGCATCAGAGGAGCAGGAAGGCTGACGTTTCGGGCCGAGACCCTTCTTCAGGAATGCCATTTCTGACCTAAATGCCACACTGACTTAAACTGATAAAGTACCATTTTCCAGCATTTCGCTCATATGTCTCTAAACCCTTCTTATTCATGTACCCATCCAGATGCCCTTTAAATGTTGCAATTGTACCAGCCTCCACCACTTCCTCTGGCAGCTCGTTCCATACACACATTACCATCTGCATGAAAAATTTGCTCCTTAGGTCCCTTTTAAATCCTTCCCCACTCACATTAATGCTACGTCCTGTAGTCTTGGACTACTCTGGAAGAAAGACCTTGGGTATTCAAATCATCCATGCCCCTCATGAGTTTAAAAGTCTCCAAGATCACCTCTCAGCTCCCAACACTTCAGGGAAAATAGCCCTAGTCTATTCAGCCTTTCCCTACAGCTCAAATCCCAGTAACATCCTTGTTAATCCATTCTGAACCATTTCAAGTTTAAGAACATCCTTCCTATAGCAGGGAGAGCAGAATTGTACGCAGTATTCCAAAAGTAGACTGACCAATGTTCTGTACAGTTGTAACGTGATGTCCCAGCTCCAAAAAAGTCATTGTCATTGAAATAACAAAATGTAACCACCACCTGTGGATTTGTATTTTCAGGAGAGGGAGTAAAAAATGCCCATGAGCAAATGCTTCAAAATTCTTTTATTGAACGTTGTGCGATGCAATTACAGTCGAAGAGCCCAACGCCTGGGCATGGGGGTACCCCAAGTGCAGCTTGCCACGCTGGAGTATCTGTTCAGATCTTCAAAAGTCATTTAGCAAGTGGAGCTGTGCTGGGGCCCGGAGGTGGGTGTGGGTGGTGGGGTGTGGGGGAGGTGGCTTTGCACAGACCAAGATTCCATGAGCATAGCATCAAGCCTTTTCTAGCTGGATGCGTTTTGTGTGAAGGGTGCATCAGCTGGTTGAGTTTGAACCATTAATCCTGCATCGGCATTAAATGCAGAACTAGCATTTATTCCCCGGTTACTGACTGACCTGGAGAAGGTGGTGGTGAGCTGCCTTCTTAAACTGCTCGGGTCAGTTTGGGATAAGGGACATCTGTGAGGCAGGCAGAGTTCAGTGGTCTGGATGAAATGGCAGGGAACAGGCAGGGAATTTCTTTACAGACAGCATTGAAGCATGAGCAGAGGGAGATATAGCAATGCTGTGAGGCTCTCCTAGAAGTACTCAATCTCATCAAACAGTGTCTTGCCCGTTTGGAGGTTTTCCAGAGACAGTTTCGGATCAGAATGAGGCAGTGGCTGGAACACCCGCATGTGTATGTAATCGTCAGCTTCCCCAACCACAACCTTCAAAATAAAAACACACCCATGAGTTTACAAAGAACATTTCTCACAGCTGCCCCCGAGAGCATGTAACACAATACCTCACTGACACTTCTTTGACAGTCCAGCACTCAGTCAGTACTGACTCTCCAACAATTAAGTGTTTCCTCTGTTGCCTCCTCTAGCTCCTACAATTCCCAGTTGTCTCTGAGCTCCTACATTCCAGCCATCTCCCTTGTCCTTCGTTGGGGAATAATACAGAAAGCTGTGATCACATGTTCCCAAAGAATGTATTCCCAGTTACATGAGACATTTATTCATTGAGAGAACAGAGAAACTAAATGCAATAGATTGCAAACATTTTCAAACACTGAGCTTAGTTTGCTTTCACAGTGAAACATTCTCCATATTTATCAAAGGAGGGAACAATAAGATTTTTGAATGTTGAAGTATGGGTTAGATTTAGATGTGAAGTAGGAACACGAGAAGGAAGATTGTGGTCGGTAGGTCAGTAGATTGTCCATTTGATCAGATTGGAAAGCTACAGAGAAAGGCAGCACGGAGAGCAGCAGGACGATGGAGTGTCCGATAGAGAGCTGGAAGGTGGATGTCACAGGGCGTGCTAGGGTTGATGTGTGAGGATGGGGTGAGAGAGAGAGAGAGAGAGAGAAAGAAACGACTGTGATAGTGTGTGACAGCAGATCACAAATGCAGGAATAGCTAAGAAGCAGGAAGAACAACATCCTGGTTGGTCAGATACTAAAACAGAGGAGTTCAGGACACAATCAGATCCACATGGAACAGCAGAGTGGGATCGAGGGGATGAGTAGACATGACAGTTTGTAATTTAGCTGTTCCGAGGACGTTTGGGTAGGTTCTGTGAGGATAAAACTGTCAAAGGAAAACAGGTTGATTCTGTTTACATACCTTGATGAAGTAATTTGTTCCAGCTACTATTTGTGAGCGATATGAGATAGCGTGATAAATCGGCAGAGATCTTTTCAACCTTTCAGCAACCTCAGTCTTCAACTGGGCACAGACACGATGGGGAAAAACAGAAAATATCAGCATTACTGAAGGGGACACAGACTGCCAGAGAGTCCATGCTGAGGGAGCGCCGCACTGTCGGAGGGTCAGTGCTGAGGGAGCGCTGCACTGTAGGAGGGTCAGTGCTGAGGGAGCACCGCACTGTCGGAGGGTCAGTGCTGAGGGTGTGCCGCACTGTCGTAGAGACAGTGCTGAGGGTGTGCCGCACTGTAGGAAGGTCAGTGCTGAGGGAGCGCCGCACTGTCTGACGGTCAGTGCTGAGGGTGTGTCGCACTGTAGGAGGGTCAGTGCTGAGGGAGCGCCGCAATGTCGGAGGGTCATTACTGAGGGAGAACCGCATTGTCGGATGGTCAGTGCTGAGGGAACACTGCACTGTCAGAGTGTCAGTCCTGAGGGAGCTCCAAACTGTCGGAGGGTCAGTAGTGAGGGAGCGCCGCACCGTTGGAGGATCAGTGCTGAGCGAGCACCGCATTGTCGGAGGGTCAGTGCTGAGGGAGTGGGCACTGTCGGGTGGTCAGTGCTGAGGGAGCACCGCACTGTCGGAGGGTCAGTGCTGAGG